AAAAAAAAAAAAATCAGACAATTCCAAAAAAAACAAAAACAAAAACAAAAACAAAATCATTATAGCACAGGCCGGGCACGGTGGCTCTCACCTGTAATCCCAGCACTTTGGGAGGCCGAGGTGGGTGGATCATGTGTGGGCGGATCACTTGAGGTCAGGAGTTCGAGACCAGCCTGGCCAATATGGTAAAACCCCGTCTCTACTAAAAATACAAAAATTAGACAGGTGTGGTGGTGCACGCCCATAATCCCAGCTACCTGGGAGGCTGAGGCTGGAGAATTGCTTGAACCTGGGAGATGGAAGTTGCAGTGAGCCGAAATCACACTGCTGCACTCCAGCCTGGGTAACAAAGCAAGACTCCATCTCAAAAATAAATAAATAAAATTATAGCACAAATACCTGGCTCTTGGCTGTTTTGATCTAATGACCAGGGGAAGAGGGCAAGAGTTGACTGTTTAGTTTACAAACATTCAGCCAATAGTTCCGTTTTCAGTCCCATGAGGCCCACCTATATGAGTTGCAGCCTTGAGACTCTGCAGTTCGGCTGGTAGATTGGCTCTCTGCTCCCATGAGGCATAGTCTGCTTATGTACGTGTGTGTGTGTGTGTGTGTGTGTGTGTGTGTGTGTGTGTGTGTGTGTTTTCTTGGGTTTTCTCAGCTCTGCTCTATCATTTATTGCTTCTCTCTATATATATATTTTAAGACACAGTCTCGCTGTGTTGCCCAGGCTGGAATACAGTGGTGCAATCACTGCTCCCTGCAGCCTTGACCTCCTGATCTCAGGCATTCCTCCCACCTCAGCTCCTCCTACCTTCTTAATAGCTGGGACAGCAGGTGTGCACCACCACACCCAGATAATTTTAAAATTTTTGGTAGAGACGGGTCTCTCTTTGTTGCCCAGGCTGGTCTCAAATTCCTGGGGTCCAGTGATCGTCCCACTTTGGCCTCCCCAAGTACTGGGATTACAGACCTCAGCCACTGCATCTGGCCACTTTTCCACTGACTGTTTTCCAGAAGTATGTAGAAGATTTTTCCCTGTTGGTGACCTCTCTCGTGCTCTGTGTGGTGTTATATCTTTTTTTCTTTCCAATTCTCACTTTAACAGAGTCCCATATAAGAGGATATATATGCTTGTTTTCAATATGCCTTCTTGCACTGGAAACTTTAAAATAAGTTTTAAGACTGGGTGCAGTGGCTCATGCCTATAATTCCAGCAGTTTTGGGAGGATAGCTTGAGGTCAGGAGTTCCAGACCAACCTGGGCAATATAGTGAGACCCTGACTCTACAAAAAATTAGAAAATTAGTCAGGTGTGGTGGTGTATACCTGTAGTCCTAGCTACTCAGGTGGCTGAGGTGGGATGATCCCTTAAGCTCAGGAGCTCAAGGCTGCAGTGAGCTATAATTGTGCCATTGCACTCCAGCCTGGATGATACAGTGAGACCCTGTCTCAAAAATAAATAAATAAACAAAATAAAATATAATACTTTTTTTTTTGAGATAGAGTCTTACTCTGTCACCCAGGCTGGAGTGAGGTAGCACAATCTTGACCCACTGCAACGTCCGCCTCCCGGGTTCAAGCGATTCTCCTGCTTCAGCCTCCTGAGTGGCTTGGACTACAGGCACGTGCCAGCATGCTCAGCTAATTTTTTGTATTTTTAGTAGAGATGGGGTTTCACCATGTTGGCCAGGTTGGTCTCAAACTCCTGACCTTGGAATCTGCCCACCACAGCCCTGCAAAGTGCTGGGGTTACAAGTGTGAGCCACCACCCTCCACCATAATATGTTTTAAAATAGAATAACATAATGTTTTAACAATATCTTTTGACATATCTCCATGCTCGTTGGCATCTTGTTGTCTTTAAGGGCTGCACAGTATTCTCTGGTATGACTGTACTCTAATACATGTCATCATTCCCCAGTTAGGTGGTTTTATATTTATTACTGTTATCAACAGGGCTGATATTCTTATATGTATATCTTTGCGTGTACATACAAGCATTTCCTCAGGTGTCAAAGTGTCAAAGGATAGATACACTTCAAATTTTGATACTAAAATGTCAGATTGCCTTTAACGATATGTGAGTACTTTCATGAAATGATAAATGAAATATCTGATACCCTTAGGTACTAAGGAAAAGGACTTCCCTCAGTGGAGGTCCAGGAGAAAATCTTTTAGGCAGAAGCAGGGAGATAGGAATGTATATAGCCTGTTTATGGAATTAGAATGATTTCCGTAAATTACGAAGGAAGCCCGGTAAGACTACACAGGATGGAATCTTAATAGTGCATGGCTGTTTGATGCCGTGTTGCTAAATTCCTGTCTGTTCCCAGCTTGTACTAGAGTGACATAAACCATATGGGGCGAATTGGAAGAGCTTTCCAAAACAGCTGAGTTTACAAGATCAAGCAAAAGGAGACAGAAGACTCCTGCAAAGGTTCTGATTCCATGCCGTTAAGTATCTCTGATGGTGTTAGGGGCCATTGGGCAGGTAGCCCACAGAGGTGAATGATCAAGGTGTTGAAGGAGCTCCATAGAGCAGGTGCTGAACCTTTTCAGGAGGGCCTAAGGCAATGGCAGGAGGAGCAGGAGAGGAAGGTGCGAGCCCTCTCAGAGATGGCATCTGAACAACTGAAGCGGTTTGATGAACGGAAGGAACTGAAGCAGCATAAAGAATTCCAGGACTTGCGGGAAGTAATGGAGAAAAGGTGAGTCTCCCTGAATTATGACTGATGTGTTCAACTGGAACTCTTTCCCAAGAGGGCTTCCAAGGGGAAAGAGTTGAACAATTTCTTAGTCCTTAAATATCAAAGTAAAATAGGTAGAGAAGTTTATAACCTGGAAAAATGATCAAACTTGGAAAGACAACAAAAGTAACACAAAGAAGGAGGCTTTTAGCAGAGGTAAAACAATTTTACGGGCACTGTGGACCACACCTGTAGTCTCATTTACTAGGGAGGCTGAGGCAGGATCGCTTCAACCCTGGGGTTTGAGGCCGTGGTGATAGCCACTGCACTCCAGTCTAGGCAACATAACGAGACTCCATCTCTAAGAAAAAAGAAAGGAAGGGAAGGGAGGGCGGGGAGAGGGAGAGAAAAGAAAAACAACTTTAGGAAATATTCCTGACTGTTCCTCCCTACCATTGTTCATGCAGCTCGAGAGAAGCCTTGGGACACCAAGAGAAGCTAAAAGCTGAGCACCGTCACAGAGCAAAGGTCAGAGCCTGGCAAAATTTGTGTGGGTGTATAGTCTGTCTATAACCTGCCTAGAGAGCCAGGTTTTGGCAGATGGTCACATGGTGGATCTGGGCCATATTATATCTGTGTGTGACTAACTCTGGGATGTCCTTTTCCTGCTCTGAGCCCATCTGTGAAAATATGTAGCCTACATAGAATTTGTGGATTATAGAAAGAGAGGAAGCCCAGGAGCCCCTCAGAAGTCATTCAGCCCTTTCTACAGATTCTCAACCTGAAGCTGCGGGAGGCAGAGCAGCAGCGCGTGAAGCAAGCGGAGCAGGAGCGGCTTCGGAAGGAAGAAGGCCAGGTCCGCCTGCGGGCCCTCTATGCTCTGCAGGAGGAAATGCTGCAGCTTAGCCAGCAGCTGGATGCTTCTGAGCAGCACAGAGGCCTGCTTAAGGTCGACCTGGCTGCCTTTCGGACCCGAGGCAACCAGCTATGCAGCCTCATCTCAGGGATCATCCGGGCCTCTTCAGAGGTGAGGAGGGCTTCAGAATGATTCATTGCTGTCTTTGAAATGGAAGACCTTAAAAGCAAAATTATTTTCTGACTTAAAAAGTAATATCTGCTATCAGCTTATTGGGGGAAATACCAAACATTACTTGTTATCTCCATATCTCTTTACCTAGAAGTAACCATTGTTAACATTTTATTTTGTTTATTTATTTCTTTATTTTTATACCTGCTTATTCTGGAATCTCTTTTTTTTTTTTTTTGAGACGGAGTTTCGCTCTTGTTACCCAGGCTGGAGTGCAATGGCGCGATCTCGGCTCACCGCAACCTCCGCCTCCTGGGCTCAGGCAATTCTCCTGCCTCAGCCTCCTGAGTAGCTGGGATTACAGGCACGTGCCACCATGCCCAGCTAATTTTTTGTATTTTTAGTAGAGACGGGGTTTCACCATGTTGACCAGGATGGTCTCGATGTCTTGACCTCGTGATCCACCCACCTCGGCCTCCCAAAGTGCTGGGATTACAGGCTTGAGCCACCACGCCTGGCCTTGGAATCTTTTTAATTTATTTTTTCTTATTTTGAAATGGGGTCCCCCTCTGTCACCCAGGGTGGAGTGCGGTGACACAATCTCAGCTCATTGTAGCCTCTGCCTCCCGGGCTCAAGCGATCCTCCCACCTCAGCCTCCTGAGTAGCTGGGGCTACAGGCGCATACCACCATGCCCCACTAATTTTTGTATTTTTGTAGATACACGGTTTTGCCATGTTGCTCAGGCTGGCCTTGAACTCCTGGGCTCAAGTGATTCCCCTGCCTCAGCCTCCCAAAGTGCTGAGATTACAGGTGTGAGCCACCATGCAGAACTTTTTTTTTTTTAATTAGAGAAAGGGATCTCGCTATATTTCCCAGGCTGGTCTTGAACTCCTGGGCTTAAGTGATCCTCCCACTTTAGCCTCCCATGGTATTGGGATTACATGAGCCACTGCACCTGCCCTATTTCTTTTCTTTGCTTTTTGGAGTTTTTTTTTTTTTTTTTTTTTTGAGACCGGGTCTTACACTGTTGCCTAGGCTGGAATGCAGTGGTGTGATCATGGCTCACTTTAACCTCTGCTTCCCAGGTTCAAGCGAGTCTCAGATCACTTGAGTCCAGGAGTTCAAGGCCAGTAGGTTTCAGCCAACATGGTGAAACCTCGTCTCTACTAAAAATACAAAAATTTACGGGGCCTGGTGGCACACACCTGTAATCCCAGCTGCTTGGGAGGCTGAGGCACCAGAATCGCTTGAACCTGGGAGGCGAAGGTTGCAATGAGCTGAGGTCCCGCCACAGCACTCAAACCTGGGTGACAGAGATTCTGTCTCAAAAAAAAAACAGTATTATTTTTGTCTAACATATTATCACAAACTTTTTTAAAAAAATTACTCTGGTCCTTGTTGCTGAGAATACAGAAAAATTTATACTTAGAAACTGCTGATGTGATAGTAAATTGGAATTATTAATACCTTTAAGAGAACGGGAAAGCAGTATCAATTTGTTGAATGTGGATACTCCATTGGTGCAACAATTCCAATTATAGGAAATTTACTGACTTGTGTGAGGTATGATTTACCTAGGTATGATTTACCTGAGGTATGATTTACCTAGGTATGATTTACCTAAGGTATGATGTCACTCTCACAGAGTGGCTGTCCTACAGCAGAGAGCCAAGCTGAGGCTGAGCGAGCTCTGCAGGAAATGCGGGACCTCCTTACGAACTTGGGGCAGGAGATCACCAGAGCCTGCGAAGACAAGAAGAGGCAGGATGAAGAGGAGGCCCAGGTAAAACTGCAAGAGGCACAGATGCAGCAGGGACCAGAGGCCCACAAAGAGTCCCCGGCTTCCAGCCAGGGCCCAGGAGGGAAACAGATTGAAGGTGGGTGTCAGTGTGGATATGGTCCTTTAACTTGGTGTAAGTTTCAAATGTGAAGAGAAACAAGAGTGTATTTTGAATGTTGTGTTAAACTATATAGGACAGTTAATCAGAATTTTACATAATGTATTTCATTCAGTTTTGATTGATGTGGAGCCTGATTTAAGATTCCAACACTTTCTGTGAGGACTTGAAATTCTACATAATTATAGCAGATACATTATTTCAATTATTGCTGCTGCTATTTTAAATAAATGTGCAAAAATATGTGTTTGTTTAATATGTATAAGGGGTCAGGAGTTCGAGACCAGCCTAGCCAACATGGTGAAACTCCCATCTCTGCCAAAAATACAAAAATTAGCTGGGCGTAGTGGTGCGCATCTATAGTCCCAGCTACTCAGGAGGCTGAGGCAGAATCACTTGAACCCAGAAGATGGAGGTTGCAGTGAGCTGAGATTGTGCCACTGTATTACAGCCTAGGCAACAGAGTGAGCCTCCATCTCAAAAAAAAAGAATCAGTGTAGCATAGTGTTTGAGAATGCTGACTCTGGAGCCAGATCATTGGGAGTCTAGTTTTTCTTTTCTTTTCTTTCTTTTTTTTTGAGATAGGGTTTCACTCTGTCACCCAGGCTAGAGGAGTACAGTGGTGTGATTACAGCTCACTGCAGCCTCACCCTCCCAGGCTCAAGTGATCCTTCCCACTCAGCCTCTGAAGTAGCTGGGACTACAGGCGTGCACCATCGTGCCTGGCTAATTTGTGTATTTTTTGTAGAGATGGGGTTTCACCAGGTTTCCCAGGCTGGTCTCAAGCTCCTGGGCCTGTCTTGGCTTCCTAGAGTTCTGGAATTACAGGCGTGGGTGCCCTGCCTTAGTTTTTCTACTTACTAGTAATGTGACCATGGCAAATCACTTAACCTTTCATGCTTGTTTCCTGTTTCCTTATCTATAAAATGGAGATAATAATAGTATCTACTTCATAGTTATTGTGACAGTTAAAGCAGTTAGTACATAAATAAAGTGATTATAACAGTGCCTGCCTCGTATTACATGTTCAGTAAATACTAGCTGTTACTAAAACCTCTCTTTTATTTCTCAGACCTCCAGGTGAAGGTACAAGACAGTACAATGCAGTGGTACCAGCAGTTGCAGGATGCTTCCATGCAGTGTGTGTTGACCTTTGAGGGCCTGACCAACAGCAAGGACAGTCAGGTAGAGGAGGGGTGGTATATGGTGGTAATTTTGTGGGCTTGATAGTGCTCAGAGAATGAGCGCTTCATGTCCCAAAGGAATGTAGCTGGCATGTGACATTACCTGATTCTAAGTGACATCTTCTCAGCTCTTTAGAACACTGCTTTCTCACTGTTCTCTTCTGGCAGGCCAAAAAGATAAAAATGGACCTCCAGAAGGCTGCTACCATCCCAGTGAGCCAAATCTCTACCATCGCAGGTTGGTCAGAGGGGATAAGAATATGACCTTTCACAGTGGGGAGGGATAACATGGGGAGAAATGCCAGATATAGTATGCACCTAAAGTTAAATAAATAAATAAATAAAATGATCTTTTACTTCATTGTATTATTTTTCAGACTCCAAATCTACTTATCTGTAAGGTTCCTATGAAAGTATATTCAAACAAATGTTGACAGTTGGATCGGGTACATATAAGTTATATATCTCTTGTTTCACTCGTTTCCTCTTTATTTTTTTTTTTCGTTTCCACTTTAACACGTAGAGGGTAATCATGGCCAGGTGCGGTGGCTCACCCCAGTAATCCCAGCACTTTGGGAGGCCGAGGCAGACAGATCATGAAGTAAGGAGTTCGAGACCAGCCTGACCAACATGATGAAACCCTGTCCCTACTAAAAATACAAAAATTAGCTGGGGGTGGTTGTGCGTGCCTGTAATCCCAGTTACTCAGGAGGCTGAGGCAGGAGAATCGCTTAAACACAGGAGGCGGAGGTTGCAGTGAGCCAAGATCACATCACTGCACTTCAGCCTGGGTGACAGAGCGAGACTCCATCTTAAAAGAAAAAATAAAGAAGATAATCATAATGAGCTTGTTGACTCATTTTTAATAAGCTACCCTATTTATAGTAAATTATTAGGATGGCTCTCAACTTTCAAGTTGCAGGTTGCTGCTGAAAACATCACTAAGGGAACCTAGGCTATGATTTGCAGCCTTTGCTTCTGTCCTACAACATTAGCTTTCCCGAATTACTCCAAGCTTGCCTTGTTCATCCCCAAGGACTCCTTCTTTTCTCTCTAGAGACTGAGGTTTAGAAAGTGAGAAACAGACAAGGAAAAAACTCTTTTTTGAACCAGAGGTTCATTTGTATGGAGCTGTAGATGTGGAAGCCTCCAAATTAGAGACTGAGCTGCCATGTGACTGGGGAGTGTGCGCAACTGGAACACTCCTCTGACTCATCGTGGGTTCCATTACCCCGATTCACTTCTCATTGCCTGGAAAGCATAGGAAAATTTCTGTTCCTGCCCTTGATAGGCAGTCCAACAAAACTTACATATGACTTTGCTGCCTAAAATTCTTCCTGAAACAGGCAAGATACAAATAAATAAATAACGTATTACTTTGTGGAATTCAAAGTGTTGTGTCCTTTGATAGCACTTTGAGTGGGAGAGGTTGACTGGACAGCCACTCCACACCTTGATGGCCATTCCCAGCTTCCCCTCAGTTGACCGCAGACAACCTCAGTACCTCCTTCATCAGGAAAATGGAGACATCCAGTATGAGCTCTTCAGAGCCCCTTCCACGACTGCACAGTGACATTTATCTTAGTCTCCTGTGTCACTGGATGAGGCGTCCTTGCTGCCGGGCTTACCTTTCTACCTCTGCACTTGTTCCCTTTCCTTCCCGTCTCCTGTCAGATTTTGCCTTATTGTTTATTGCCTTTCCTGTTTTCTGTGATTACTCCTTTTTATAGGCTCCTGTCTCTCAGCCTTTAAATATGCTTGAGCCCCTTACATCCTAAACGTGAGTTTCCCTTGATCCTATGTCTTCTAAGTGTTTGCTGATCTTCCTCAGGTTTCTGTTTGGCACTGTTGCTACTTTCTCTGTGCAACTCTGCTCCTTTGGCCTCCATGGCACCATTACCTTCCAGGTTCTTCTGCCTCCCTCCCTCTTCCTCTCCTCTCCTCTGTCTCCCCTTTGCGAGTTTCTCAGCCTTCTATCCCACTCTAATTGTAGGTGGTTCCTAGGGATCCACTCCTATCCCGCAGTTCTTTTCATTCTCTCAACTTACAGGGCTTCAAACATTACTTGTATGCTGCTGACTCCCAAACCTACTTATTCCTTTCTTCTGAGCTTCAGATTCTCTAGCTCCAGGAACCTGAAGGACATCGCTGCCTATATGTCTCTTAGCTGCCTCAAGTTTAATGTTTTCAAATCCAAACTCATCATCTTCCTTAGGCCTAATTGTCTCCTGTTTTCTCTGAGTAATCAGTAGCATTATCTACTCAGTAACCTTAGCTGGAAACCTGGGAGTCATCTTTATGGCTGCTGCCTCTATTTCACTCATCATATCGAATTAGTCTCTAACTTTGCCTTTTCTCATTTTTCTACACATTTCCTGACTCTCCCTTTGTTTCCATCGTGACTATAAGCCAACCAGACACAGAGCATGCTCTAGAGTTAGTGCTCAGTAAATGTTGAACGAATAGGAGAGAAAGATCACCTAATTCCTGTCTCTTTGAAAAAGGTGGATGTTGGCTGGGCACAGTGGCTCACGCCTGTAATCCCAACACTTTGGGAGGCCTAGGCAGGTGGATCACCTGAAGTCAGGAGTTAGAGACCAGCCTGGCCAACATGGTGAAACCCTGTCTCTACTAAAATACAAAAATTAGCTGGGTGTGCTGGTGGTAGGTACCTGTAATCCCAGCTACATAGGCGGCTGAGACAGAAGAATCACTTGAACCTGGGAGGTGGCAGTTGCAGTGAGCCGAGATCGTGCCATTATACTCCAGCCTGGGTGACAGAGTGAGACTCCATCTCAAAAAAAACAAAAAAGGTGGGTGTCGCCAGGTGCCGTGGCTCATGCCTATAAACCTAGCACTTTTAGACTTTTAGGAGGATGAGGCGGATGGATCACTTGAGATCAGGAGTTTGAGATCAGGCTGGCCACCATGATGAAACCCCATGTCTACTAAAAATACAAAAATTAGCTGGGAGTAGTGGCACGTGCCTGTAGTCCCAGCTACTTGGGAGGCTGAGTTGGGAGAAATGCTTGAACCTGGGAGGTGGAGGTTGCAGGGAGATGGAGTCTTGCTCTGTCACCCATGCTGGAGTGCAGTGGCACGATCTTGTCTCACTGCAACCTCCACCTTCCGGGTTCAAGCAGTTCTTCTGTCTCAGCCTCCCGAGCAACTGGGACTACAGGCATGTGCCACATCCCCCCTAATTTTTTTTGTATTTTTAGTAGAGATGGGGTTTTACTGTGTTAGCCAGGATGGTCTCGATCTCCTGACCTTGTGTTCCACCCGCCTTGGCCTCTCAAAGTGCTGGGATTACAAAGGAAGTGACTCCTACTTGACTGGCTGGCTCAACTTAACTACCTGTAATCTAACTATAGCTGGTGTGGGGGTGGAGCACACAGGATCTTTGGTACAAATATAGCTGTTACGAATCCACTTCTGTGTCTTAGGATGGAGGAAGGCAAGTCCCAGGGAAGGGGGCATATCATCATGAGCCGGGCAGATCCTTTAGAAGGTTTTTCCTAGAGATGAGACTAACTCCTCCAGAGATACAAACCATAGCCCATGGGGTCTGTAACAAAATGTAACACCTCTTTCTATACTGTTCATCCCTTCATTTTATGTGTGAGTTTCGGAATTAGCTCAGTCCCAGATAAGGAATTCCTTTCTAATAGTACCATGACTTGCACACTTGAGGATCCCCACGTATATGTGATTGCCATGTGTTCTTCTGTACCAGTGTTTTGGCTGTAGGCCCAGAACTTCTGTAGGGCTGCACAGCTGGGTTTTTGTAGATGCTTTGTAATTACAATGATGAAAAAGAGGCTGGGCATGGTGGCTCATGCCTGTAATCCCAGCACTTCGGGAGGCTTACGTGGGGGGATCACTTGAGGTCAGGAGTTGAAGACCAGCCTGGCCAACATGGTGAAACGCAGTATCTACAAAAAAAAAATACAAAAATTGGCCAGGCGCGGTGGCTCACGCCTATAATCCCAGCACTTTGGGAGGCTGAGGTGGGTAGATCATGAGGTGAAGAGATCGAGACCATCCTGGTCAACATGGTGAAACCCTATCTCTACTAAAAATACAAAAATTAGCTGGGCATGGTGGCGTACGCCTGTAGTCCCAGCTACTCAGGAGGCTGAGGCAGGAGAATTTCTTGAACCCAGGAGGCGGAGGTTGCAGTGAGCCGAGGTCGCGCCATTGCACTCCAGCCTGGGAAACAAGTGAAATTCCGTCTCAAAAAAAAAAAAATACAAAAATTATCCCAGCATGGTGACGAGTGCCTGAATTCCCAGCTACTTGGGAGGCTGAGGCATGAGAATCACTTGAGCCTGGAAGGTAGTTTGCAGTGAGCCAAGATCATGCCACTGCACTCCACCCTGGGTAACAGAACAAGACTCTGTCTCAAAGAAAAAGAAAAAAGATTGATCTGTGGTTGTATCTTTTAATTTCTCTCTATCATGCTCAGGCTCAAAACTGAAGGAGATCTTTGACAAGATCCACAGCCTGCTCTCTGGAAAACCTGTTCAATCTGGTGGGCGCTCTGTGTCTGTCACACTTAACCCACAGGGGCTGGACTTTGTTCAATACAAACTGGCAGAGAAATTTGTGGTGAGAAACCTTGTTGCTAGAGGTATGGGAAGAAGAGGCTGGTGTATAGGATTTCAGCCTTTCTCTGGTATTAAGGTAAAATTGTACCCACCTCTGTGTTCTCAGAAACAAGGCGAGGAGGAAGTGGCCTCTCACCATGAAGCAGCATTCCCCATTGCAGTTGTGGCGTCCGGGATCTGGGAGCTCCACCCCAGAGTAGGGGACCTCATTCTTGCTCATCTACATAAGAAGTGTCCTTACTCTGTTCCTTTCTATCCCACTTTCAAGGAGGGAATGGCTTTGGAAGACTATCAGAGGTAAAGTTGTTTTTCTTCCTACTTTTGATCCCTAGGCTGATTAGTGAAATATAAATAGAGTTGGAATTTGTTTTTCCCTCTCTCTCAGCTCCTATTACATACCTTGAATATTCTATCAGAAATATAATGTATTTCGGCCGGGGGTGGTGGCTCATGCCTATAATCCCAACACTTTGGGAGGGCAAGGTGGGCGGATTGCCTGAAGTCAGGAGTTAGAGACCATCCTGGGCAACATGGAGAAACACCGTCTCTAGTAAAAATACAAAAAATTAGCCAGATGTGGTGGTGCACACCTATGCTTCTGGCTACTCAGGAGGCTGAGGCACAAGAATTGCTTGAACTTGGGAGGCGGGGGTTGCAATGAGCTGAGATTGCACCACTGCACTCCAGCCTGGGTGACACAGCAAGACTGTGTCTCAGAAAGAAAATAAATAAATAAATAAATATGTATATATAGTTTTTTGTACAAACTGGACAGCCTTTGGGATTTGTGAACTTAGGTGCCAATAATCAATGTAGTTTAGTGGAAAGGATACCGGGGTCTTGGAATTTTATCCCTGCTTTGTCATTTAATAGCTTTGCCAAAATGGACAAATCATTTAGTCTTTTTGAGCATCTTTTCTTTATTTGTAAATGTAAGTAATGACATCTATTCCCTTCTGTGAGTTTACCTCACGGTTTATATGAAGTACAGATTTGATGACGGATGTGAGTGCTTGGTAAAGTATTCTATAGATATATTAATAGTAATGCTGAATGTAATAATACATTGTTACTTTTTTTTTTTTTTTTTTTTTTTTGAGACGGAGTTTCGCTCTTGTTACCCAGACTGGAGTGCAATGGCGCGATCTCGGCTCACCGCAACCTCCGCCTCCTGGGTTCAGGCAATTCTCCTGCCTCAGCTTCCTGAGTAGCTGGGATTACAGGCACGCACCACCATGCCCAGCTAATTTTTTGTATTTTTAATAGAGACGGGGTTTCACCATGTTGACCAGGATAGTCTCGATCTCTTGACGTCGTGATCCACCCACCTCGGCCTCCCAAAGTGCTGGGATTACAGGCTTGAGCCACCGCGCCCGGCCTACATTGTTACTTTTTAGCCATAAAAAGTAATCTCTGGGCCAGACGCAGTGGCTCATGCCTATAATCCCAGCACTTTGGAAGGCTGAGGTAGTTGGGAGTTCAAGACCAGCTTGACTAACATGGAGAAACCCTGTCTCTACTAAAAATACAAAAAATTAGCCAGGCATGATGGCACATGCCTATAATCCCAGCTACTCGGGAGGCGGAGGCAGGAGAATCATTTGAACCTGGGAGGTGGAGGTTGCAGTGAGCCAAGATCACACCATTGCACTCCAGCCTGGGCAACAAGAGTGAAACTCTGTCTCAAAAAAAAAAAAAAAAAAAAGAGGTATTCTCTGGGCCAGCTACAGTGCCTCATGCATATAATTTTTTTTGGAAGGCTGAAGCAGAAGGATTGCTTGAGCCCAGGATTTCCAGACCAGCCTGGGTAACAAAATGAGACCCTGTCTCTACAAAAAAAAATTTTTTTTTTAATTAGCCAGGTGTTAGCTGGGCACGATGCCTCACTCCTGTAATCCCCACATTTTGGAAGGCTGAGGCGGGTGGATCACCTGAGGCCCGGAGTTTCAGACCAGCTTGGCCAAAATGGTGAAACCTCATCTACTAAAAATAAAAAAAAATAGCTGGGTGCAGTGGCAGGCGCCTGTAATCACAGCTACGTGGGAGGCTGCAACTTCTGCCCCTGGGTACAAGTGATTTTCCTGCCTCAGCCTTAGGAAAATCATTTGTACCCAGGGGCTGAGTTGTAGTGAGACAAGATCACACCATTGCATTCCAGCCTGGGCAACAAGAGCAAAATTCTGTCTCAAAGGAAAAAAAAAATTAGCTGGGCATGGTGGCATGCAGCCTGTAGTCCCAGCTACTTAGGAGGCTGAGGAAGGAGACAGGAGAATCCCTTGAACCCAGGAGGCAGAGGCTGCAGTGGGCCGAGATTGCGCCACTGCATTCCAACCTGGGCAGCAGAGCGAGACTCTGTCTCAAAAAAAAAAAAAAGAAAAGAAAAGAAAAATGAGCCAGGTGTTGACCAGGTACAGTGGCTCATGCCTGTAATCCCAGCACTGGGAGGCTGGGGCGGGCAGATCACCTGAGGTCAGAGGTCAGGAGTTTGAGACTAGCCTGGTAAACATGGTGAAACCCTGTCTTTACTAAAAATTCAAAAATTAGTCAGGTGTGGTGGCAGGTGCTGTAATCCCAGCTATTCTGGAAGCTGAGGCAGGAGAATCGCCTGAACCCGGGAGGTGGAGGTTGCAGTGAGCAGATATTGTGCCATTGCTCTTCAGCCTGGGCAACAAGAGCAAAACTCCATCTCAAAAAAAAAAAGCCAGTTGTGGTGGCATATGTCTGTGGTCCTAGCTACTTGGGAGGCTGAGGTGGGAGGGTCACTTGAACCTGGGCAGTGAAGTTTGCAGTGAGCCTTAATCGTACCACTGTACTCCATCCTGGGCGACAGAGACTCTGTTTCAAAAAAAAAAAAGTAGTTTCTCTCTCATTTGTCACCCTTATTTTGGCCTTGTCCCAGTGAATTTTTTTCTTTTCTTTTTCTTTTGAGACAGAGTCTTACTCTGTCACCTGGGCTGGAGTACAGTGGTGCAATCTCGACTCACTGCAACCTCTACCTCCCAGGTTCAAGCAATTCTCATGCCTCAGCCTTCCAATTAGCTGGGACAACAGGCGTGCATCACCATACCCAGCTAATTTTTGTATTTTTAGTAGAGATGGGGTTTCACCATGTTGGCCAGGCTAGTCTTAAACTCCCGGCCTCAAGTGATCCACCCACCTCAGCCTCCCAAAGTGCTAGGATTACAGGTGTGAGCCACCACACCCGACCAAACTTTTTCTTCCCAAATAGGATGCTTGGCTACCAAGTAACGGATTCCAAAGTGGAGCAGCAAGACAACTTTCTAAAACGCATGTCAGGGATGATTCGTCTCTATGCTGCCATCATCCAGCTCCGGTGGCCATATGGAAACCGACAGGAGGTAGGTGAAAGGCTTACTATCAATAATGAGAGGTTAGACCACAGTCCATGTGTATTCCTCCAACGGGAAATGTTGACCTTCTTTGAGAAAGCCCAGTCTAGTTAAAGGATAAACTGTATGGCAATTTCATGGGTATTCTGTAGAGGACTGATTGTTGATTACTAGGGAACTTTCTTGAATCACCTGGTACTTTAAAGAGCTGGTTTTGTTCCATCCTGGCTAACATGGTAAAGCCCCATCTCTACTAAAAATACAAAAAATTAGCCAGGCATGGTGGTAAGTGCCTGTAGTCCCAGCTACTCGGAAGGCTGAGGCAGGAGAGTCACTTGAACCAGGGAAGCAGAGGTTGCAGTGAGCTGAGATCGCACAACTGTACTCCAACCTGGGTGAGACTCTGTCAAAAAAAAAAAAAGAGCTAGTTTTGTAACAGAGTCTACCAGAGGAGAGTCTAAGCCAGTCATTAAGGTTAGAAGATTTTCTTGCAAGAGAAATAAGCAAGGAATTGTAGAACTAGTTGAGGCCTTAGAAGCCATCTAGATCACATCCCTTACTTCACAGATGGACAGATCAAGCTCGGAAAGCTGCAGCTAGGGTTCAGGGCTTTGACTTGCCAGCCCAGTTAATTTCTCAGGGAATACAGATTAGAGGGACAGAGAAGTTAATGGTCGTGGACACCTAAAGAGAAAAATAGAAGTTGATTAAATCCAAGATTTTATTGTATGCCTGCTGTGTCCCAGGTTCTGTGCTAAAGGTACCAAGAATAATAAATAAAATGTCAGTAAGTCTCATTGTTGGCCAATGGAATGCCTGAAGCTGAGGCTACACATGCATATTGAAGGGATCCTATAAAGAATGTGTGGGGCCGGGCACGGTGGCTGACACCTGTAATCCCAGCACTTTGGGAGGCCGAGGCCATCCTGGCCAACATGGTGAAACCCTGTCTCCTGAAAATACAAAAATTAGCTGGGCATGGTGGTGCACACCTGTAGTCCCAGCTACTTGGGAGGCTGAGGCAGGAGATTCCCTTGAACCCGGGAGGCAGAGATTGCAGTGAGCCAAGATTATGCCACTGCACTTCAGCCTGCGACAGAGCAAGACTCCGGCTAAATAAATAAATAAGTAAATAAGCTGGGCACAGTGGCTCACACCTGTAGTCCCAGCACTTTGGGAGGCCAAGGCAGGCAGATCACGACGTCAGGAGATTGAGACCATTCTGGCCAACATGGCGAAACCCTGTCTCTACTAAAAATACAAAATTAGCTGGGTGTGGTGGTGCATGTCTATACTCCCAGCTACTGGGAGGCTGAGGCAGGAGAATTGCTTGCAACCGGGAGGCAGAAGTTGCAGTGAGCTGAGATCGCACCACTGTACTCCAGTCTGGCGATAGGGCAAGACTCCATCTCAGAAAAAAAAGAGAATGTATGGGAACCAATGTATTGAAACATTTAAAAACAGAAGGCTGGCTAGGTGGCTTCATACCTGTGATCCCAGCACTTTGGGAATCCAAAGCAGGTAGATCACTTGACTCCAGGAGTTTGAGTCCAGCCTGGGCAACAAGGTGAAACCATGCAGTCTCTACATCAGATTAAAAAAAATTAGCTGAGCATGGTGGTGCAAAACCATAGTCCCAGTTACTTGGGAGACTGATGGTGAGGTGGGAGAATCACTTGAGCCCAAGAGGTCAAGGCTGCAGTGATCTGTGGTTGTACCACTGCACTCCAACCTGGACGACAAAGTGAGATCCTGTCTCAAAAAAAAAATAAAAGAGAAACAGAATTTGTTTAGTTTGTGTTATTTCTGCCCTGCAGCTGGTGCTAGAGCTAGATGATTGGGGTTCATGTCCACTTAGTGATGGCTGGATGATACATTGGGAGTTTAGATTTCTAAACAAAATGAGATCAATGATAACCAAGCTTCTCTCCTCCCAGATTCACCCTCATGGCTTAAATCATGGATGGCGCTGGTTGGCACAGATCTTAAACATGGAACCCTTGTCAGATGTGACGGCCACCCTCCTCTTTGACTTCCTGGAGGTATGTAATCAGTTATCACACAAGAGAAAGCCAGTGGTTGAGGTAGCCTTGATCAACTGGGTGACATGAATGGGGAAACAGCATAGCAATTGGGCCTAATAGTAAACAGCATGAGGTTCCAATGTCACACATTTCTTCCCAAGACATAGACCAACCCCGCTTTCACTTATACCACACTATATTTACTTGGCTTCTCCCGATTTTTTTCATTATAAAGAACAGAAAATTGTATATTCTAGCAAAAGTGAAAAGAGGAATTTGTTTTAGGGATATAGAAGTGACTCCCGGCTGGGCGCGGTGGCTCAAGCACTTTGGGAGGCCGAGGCAGGCAGATCACAAGGTCAAGAGATCGAGCCCATCCTGGCCAACATGGTGAAACCCCGTCTCTACTAAAAATACAAAAATTAGCTGGGTGTGGTGGCACATGCCTGTAGTCCTAGCTACTTGGGAGGCCGAGGCAGGAGAATTGCTTGAACCCAGGAGGTGGAGGTTGCAGTGAGCCGAGATCACGCCACTACACTCCAGCCTGGTGACAGACCGAGACTCTGTCTCAAAAAAAAAAAAAAAAAAAAAAAAGAAGTGACTTCCAGGCTGGGCACGGTGACTCACACCTGTAATCCCAGCACTTTGGGAGGCCGAGGTGAGCAGATCACATGAGGTCAGGAGTTTGAGCCCAGCCTGGCCAGCATGGTGAAACCCTGTCTCTACTAAAAATATAAAAGAAATTACTCACGTGTGGTGAAATACGCCTGTAATCCCCGCTACTTCAGAGGCTAAGGCAGGAGAATAGCTTGAACTTGGGAGGTGGAGGTTGCAGTGAGCTGTGATCGTGCCATTGCACTCCAGTCTGGCTGGGAGACAGAGCAAGACTCCATCTCAAAAAAAAAAAAAGACTCCCAGAAACAAGAATAGGATGTGCAGGTGCATCTCAATAGGGCCTGGAACCAAGAACTGAAATGTCACCAGGCACCAAGACAGTTTCTCCATGGGGCCATATGCTCTTAACCTTCCTGCAGGTTGCCTCATTGCTGGTCTGTAGGCCAACTTGCCCTGTTTCTCTGTGTACAGTGAAGAAGGTGGCTATTCTAGACTATGTCACTCAGCCTCAGTGTGGTCACTCAATGTGGTGGGACTGTCATTTCACTATTCTGATTCCTAATTCCTAGGAGAGAAAATATTGACCAATGTAGAAGGCTCTATAAACAGTTCTTTTTTTTTTTTTGAGACGGAGTCTTGTTCTGTTGTCAGGCTGGAGTGCAGTGGCACAATCTTGGCTCATGGCAACCTCCGCCTCCTGGGTTCAAGTGATTCTTTTGCCTCAGCCTCCCGAGTAGCTGGGACCACAAGCGAGTGCCACCACACCCGGCTAATTTTTGTATTTTTAGTAGAGACGGGGTTTCACCATGTTAGCCAGAATGGTCTCTATCTCTTGACCTTGTGGTCCGCCTGCCTCGGCTTTCCAAAGTGCTGGGATTACAGGTGTGAGCCACTGCGTCCAGCCAGCTCTATAAACAGTTCTATCTGCCTATATGGGACCACTACTATAGGGTGAGGGCAAGAGTTTCTATGGAAAGGTGACACTTTGTGCGTTTTTTTTTTTTTTGAAACAGGATATTATTCTGTCACCCAGGCTGGAGTGCAATGTTCATAGGTCACTATAGCCTCAAACTCTTGGGCTCAAGTGATCCTCCCACCTTAGCCTGCCGAAGTGTTGAGATTACAGGAATGAGCTATTGTACTCGGCCAAGAAGATAATTTTTATAGAAGAAAGGTTGGGGTACATGCCATAATAAATTTGGAACCATTTGATCTATAATGCTATAGTTCCTAGTTACCTTAATAGCTCCTGAAGTCAGCCAGGTGCAGTGGCTAACACCTGTAATCCCGGCCCTTGGGAGGCCAAGGCAGGCAGATCACTTGAGCCCTGGAGTTCAAGACCAGCCTGGGCAACATGGTAAAACCCTTTGTCTACAAAAAAATACAAAAATTAGCTGGGTATGGTGATATGTGCCTGTGGTCCCAGCTACTGGGGAGGCTGAAGTTGGAGGATCACCCAAGCCTGGGGAGGTTGAGGCTGCAGTGAACTGTGATCATGCCAGTATACTCCAGCCTGGGCGACAGAGTGAGACCCTATTTAAAAATAATAAAAAGCTCCTGGAGTCACCATACATGAACAATGATCCTGTATCATTGAGAACACAAGTGGTATTCTATATACTCTGCTTACTAAGTTTGGGAAGTATACCATCCCTTTAGGAAGGCTTCCATTCAGTAGAGGAAAAGAAGATTAGTTCATTAAGACCTGACTGTCTGGTTAAATGGAGGTATTGCTGCATAAAGAGAAATGCTTTAGAAGAAAGTTGGGTATTTCCATTTATTCCCTTAACAGCAAGTTTACTGGCATTGTGGCTGAAAGTTTTGATAGGTGTGAAAGATGAAGGGTTGATTGTGCTTTATGAATCTGTCCTGTAAGTGTGAATTTTCATTCTCTGCTCTGACAGTGCTTGTCTTTCCCTCCAGGTGTGTGGGAATGCCCTCATGAAGCAGTACCAGGTTCAGTTCTGGAAGATGCTAATTCTCCTCAAAGAGGACTACTTTCCCAGGTATCAGACTTGTTAAGCAGACAACAGGGGATTAAGTAAGTAAAACCCATAACCAGGCCTCAGATACCAAAGGGTGCTATTACCTGCTGGTTTTGATTGAAGTTGAAAACACCTGTACTAAGTATGCCATCTTCCTACTCCAGTCCTTCTCGTTGATATTTGAATAAATGCTTCTGAACCTGAATGAGAGTCTGTCTTAAATATCATTGTCTAGGCCGGGCGTGGTGGCTCACGCCTGTAATCCAAGCACTTTGGAGGCCAAGGCGGGTGGATCACCTGAGGTCAGGAGTTCAAGACCAGCCTGACCAACATGGTGAAACCCCGTCTTTAAAAAAAAAAAAAGTATATCATTGTCTAAACAAAAACACAAATTAAGGGCTGGGCACAGTGGCTTTTGCCTATAATTACAGCTCTTTGAGGGGCTACAGCAGGAGGATCACTTGAGCCCAAGTGTCCAAAGCCAGCCTAGGCAATATAGCAAGATCCTATCTCTACAAAAAAAAAAAAATTAGCCAGGCATGATGGCATGTACCTATAATCCCAGCTACTAGGGAAGCTGAGACAGGAGGATCGCTTGAGACCAGGAGTTCAAGGCCTCAGTGAGCTATGATCACACCACTGCACTTTTAGCCTTCGTGACACAGTGAGACACTATCTCCAAAAGATAGATGTATACCATAGCTGTGATTCATGTGTCTTCTTTCTCTCCCTATAGAATTGAAGCTATCACAAGCTCAGGACAAATGGGTTCCTTCGTACGCCTCAAGCAGTTCTTGGAGGTAAGATGCTCTTAGACCAACATGTCCCACACTGTTGTTGGGCTGGAATGCACCTGTGTCTGACAAGGCTTGCACCTTCAGATGCTCTGATTGCACTGTCTTCCTTAGTTTTTCCAAACCCTTCTTTTTGTTCCTAATTCCCTCTTAACCTTTGGAGCAAGGGTTGCCATTACCTCTTTATATGTATCATTCTGCATACTGCCTGTAAGAAAGCTATGCCAAGATGAATAAAATATATTTAATGGCTGGGCGCGGTGGCTCAAGCCTGTAATCCCAGCACTTTGGGAGGCCGAGGCGGGTGGATCA